ATCCTCCGTTAGCCAGATCCGTTAACTAGTTTTCGTGCTGTTTTTGTCACCGCATCTAAACACTGCGATGCCAACAGACGATGATTTTGTTTATACGGCCAGTGATTTTTTAAATAATGATTGCTGAGTAATTTTTTAAATTTAATTTTAACACGCTACAATAAGAAAAATTCGAAGAGTTTGTATCTATTTAACACTTGGTTTCATTTTTTTAAATTTTAGCTTATGGGTTTAATTCTTATGGATTTCACATTTTCTCATAACTCTATTTCCTTCTAATTTTGCAAACGGATCAAAATGTTAAAACCGAGTAATTTAATTGTGACACTTTTTAATAAATCGCGATCTTCTTTTTCGCACCAAAGTGCAGGTTTTGTTCATCGTATAGTGTTTAAACCATAATTTAACTCCAAAATGAGTTATGCCACTGTGTTCCTTGTACTGTCTGTTTAAGAAGTTGTTAACTAATTATTCAAAAAATATTTTAAAATGAAATTTTAAAATGAACTTTTCTAGGCTAAAATGAACTTTTCTCAAGTTAAAGAAGAAGACTAAAGGGTTGAGTTAGGTTAAAAAAAAAGGTTAAAGAACTTTTCTTAGTTTTTAAAGATTTTTTCTTTTTTTTGAATTTTTTCTTAGGCTAAAGCAAAAAAACTTTAAAAGTGAACTTTTCTTAGGCTAAAATAAATCTTTAGTAGAAAACATACAAAAAATGTTATTCAAGTTTTTAATTATAATATTTAAATATTCTCTAAAAACCAAAAAAAGTTTTTATTTTAAAAACATCTAAAAATAAGTCTTAAGTAATATTAAATATAAGTGATACACAAAAAAAAACAAGAATATTTTTGTAAAAAAATGTGTGCAAATTCTCCTAATTATGCAAGGTACTATTTCAACAGTGAAAGTTACCTGCAACTTTCACTGTTGGTTAGATGTAAGTTACATGTAACAGGGGCTTTGAGTTAGAGCATATAAAATCTTTAATTGCCCACCCAGTCCATATTTTGTTGCTACAGTCCTGTAATACAGGACTGTGTACATACTATACAGTGATACTATACAAACATATACTGTATATTTATATAATTTAAAAACGTGGCTTGGAAAGCAAAAACTAGTTCGAAATATTAAAATTGTTTTTTTTTTTTAAATAGCACTTGATACATTTAACTAAAAATTTATCTTTTTAAGATCATCTTTTCTTAAGATATTTATTAAAGGGTGGAAGACGAAAATCCATGCTGCTACCTTGGCTGCAGCATAGAGATTTTACAACGTGCTTGTTATAAAATACCCCATAGCACGTGTCTATTATAAAGTTGATATTGTTAATTGTTTTATTTTATTCAATTGAATTTACATACAAGCTAAAAAAAATTATATATGTTCAGCTTATATCATTTATTGTTAAACTAAATGGGAACTTATAAAGTAAAAAAAATGTTTCAAAAGGAAAATTTAACTTTTTAGTCATTATTATATAGATTATTCAGGTCATATTTTTAAAATCCGGAAAAATTTTTGAATAATATATCCGGAAAAAATCTGGAATATATTTCCCTTATTTTCCTTTTAATTTTGCTTTTACCTAAGTTATTTTTATTATTATTATTATTTTTTCTATGTGTGATGAGTGAAAAGTGATGAGTCCGGAAAAGCTAAAAGGTGAAAAAAATATCCGGAATTCCGGAAATATCTGGAAAAAGATAATACCTGTTACTATCCAAGAGCTTCTCTCTCTCTCTCTCTCTCTCTCTCTCTCTCTCTCTCTCTCTCTTATATATATATATATATATATATATATATATATATATATATATATATATATATATATATATATATATATATATATGTATATATATATATATATACTTTTTTAATGCTTCATTATACATAGGAGTGGATTTTTGAAAGATTTCCATGCTTGACGAATTTGCTGATAGTCTTAATTCAATAGAATGCGGGAGTTGCTTTAAAATGCTGGATGGGTGGTTTGATTCAGCAAGAATGTAATTTAAAGGGTTTCCGGGTTTAGAGTAAGGTTGGTAGGTGTGGTTGTTGAGGTTTAATGTCCAGATAATTAACAATTTTATTTGTTAGGTGGAAAATAATTAAATCGGTTGTAAGGTGGAAAATAATTAAACAGTGCGATGCCTATAACCCTGTAACAAAACGATGTAACTTATGCATAAACGAAAAGTACGAAATTTTATTTTTTAAACACCCAAATTTGTTAAATAAAAAGAGTGAAATATTATCTTAGTGCCGGCATAAAAACAAATTTCTTCTTGCCGAATTTGACACTGGCGATTAGCAGTTTTACTATTATGATTCTTTTTTATTCGTTTTGTTTTGACGTTGGAACTCATTCTACTGCTGTTTTTGTATTTTGTATTTTTTTTTGATGGTTTTTTTCTTGATTTGTATAATATATATAGCTGAAGATTGCCGATAGGCATGAAACTTTTAGTTCCATTATAAAGTTGTATTTTTCTATTTAATTATACTTTATATATATATATATATATATATATATATATATATATATATATATATATATATATATATATATATATATATATATATATATATAACATTAAAGGCATTAAAGCTTTAATTTCCCGGAGTAACAGCTAGGAATGGGTATAATTATGCACATTACATTCAGTTCTACTGACTTGTTTCTGTTTAATATACATATTTTTCAATCCTGAAGGGCAAGTACTTGTCCAAGCAATATTACAATAGCATATATAGCTATGGATAAAAGAGTAATACAAATCTATTATACGTTTTTTGCTTAGTAGGCGTTTTGTTTTATGCATAATGCTTATAGTTTTAGAATGCGTCTTAGACCGCGTTGTCTATAATAAATATGAAATAAGACACTCAATAAGTAATTACTACATTCCAATAACATCACTCAAAAAATCTGACTTCTCAATTGCATGTCGGGTACCACGCTTGTGCAGCGCCGTACTATCGCAAGTGCAACAAGTGCAATCGCACTGGGCCCCCTATTAAATACATTAGAAAAACCTCTCCAATACCATAAATTACTACGAATTGAAAGAAAAAATTTTTTTTGTTAGTTTCTGCACAGGGCCCCCAAAAGTTACAGCACGGCGCTGCGCTTGTGGAACTCGGTTCTTGAAGAAAATATGAAAAAAATAAAATCTATTGATATTTAACTATAAAAAAGAACTATAAAAAAACACTTAAAAATAATAATTTAAATAATACATTGGTTTGGTTTTAATAGAAATTTATAATAATTTTATTAAAATTAAAAATCAACGACGTTGTTTATTTTTTTATTATAAAAAAATTATTGATTTTTGAATAATTCTAAATTGTTTTTATCAACTTCTTTGAATTGTGTACTTTGGTACATGAATGAAATCAAAATACTCGATTAGACTTTAATGTCAAGTCACTCATGAGGTGTTTCTGTAAGGAACATCTTTTGTGACTCATGAGATGTTTTTGTAAGAAAAAGAAAAACTAATATCAAATCAACCTAGGATAAAAACAACTGAGGTAAAAATAGGGAAAAAAGAACTGAGAGAACAGAGTTATAGGGGAAAGTCGGTTAGCCCCGGATACTTAAGGAAAATATAGATTGTGCACATGTGCTAACAAAAAGAAAAGTTCAAACATTCATCCATCGATTCAGAAATAAAAAAATAATTATTGTGTATCTTAATAATATACAAAACATAAAATAAAAAATGTTAGAAAAACGGCATGTTTCAAAATTGGAGGGTAGCCCCGGACACATAGTTTAACTATGATTTTACCTCTTTTTTACCAGTGTGACACAAATGTAATATATAATGATTTAGCATTGGACTGTTCTCGACTTATTTTCAAGAAAAATCGCATTTAAAAATTGCTTCTGATATATAAGGAATGAGAATGAAATTATCATCATTTAAAAATATAAACGTAAGCTTTTTTATAATGAAATAAAAACTTTAAAAACACTTTTTTCAAATCTAATGTTTTTTTTATTGGAATTAAATGAATTACTGTTATAGGTTTGTGTATTATATTAAATGCATTAATATTTATATAAAAAAAGTTGTTTATTATTAATATGTAAACGAATTAAGTTGTCCGGTGCCACCCTCTAAACATGTGCCCGATACCACCCAATCATACCGCAATACTAGTTTTAAAACCAGCGAATTAAACTTTTTAACGAATTTTTTTTTTTGATAGATATTTTGCATATGCCATATTTTCAGTCAAATAATGTTGTTCTAGTATTAAAAGTCACATAGCTTTTTTAGTTTAAGCTGTACATCAAGTGTCCGGAGTTACCCGCCGTCCGGGGCTACCCGACTTTCCCCTAAGTAACCAACGTATAAAACAAATTAAACCATGCATGACAGTATTATATAATTAGTATATATACATTGGTCAAAACTCAGTTAAAAAATGTTAACGTTACTGTAAATATTTTTAATTTAAAATAAGAAAAACTAAAGATTTGTGAAGGTTTTAGTAGCAGATATGAACCAGTAAACAACCCAGAACCAAGAATAAATACGGATGTAGTTTCTGGTTGAGTCAAGTGATACTTAACCTAAATACGGGTGTTGAGTCTAGTAATACTTAACTTAAACACGGGTGTTGAGTCTAGTGACACTTAACCTAAATACGGGTGTTGAGTCTAGTGATACTTAACGTAAATACGGGTGGTGAGACTAGTGATACTTAACGTAAATACGGGTGTTGAGTCTAGTGATACTTAACTAGGATTTAGTTTCTTGGATTTAGACAAAAAGCTTTGTGAATGATATTAAACGCTTTAATATATATATATATATATATATATATATATATATATATATATATATATATATATATATATATATATATATATATATATATATATATATATATATATGTATATATATATATATGTATATATATATAAAGAATTGTTTTTCTATGTCTGATATGTATATATAATCAACAGTTTTACTACGTCTGATATTTAAAAATATTTTACTTTTCAACTCATGTTGAAATTGAACAAACAAAACATTTTTATATTTTCGTATTTAATGTTTTTCGGAACACACGATTCACACGATATTGTTACCATCAGCATAATTACAGCAAGAAAGAGTGTCGTATCTTTTTTGTCTCTCATAATTTTTATGAATTACATCATATGTAATTCATAAAAGAATTTGATTCTTTTTGGGAAACTTGCTTTAGAGAACCAAAAGTTCATAATTCACCAAAACAGAACCAATGTGCACAGCGATCGAAAGTTGCTGCTACTCATCACTAACAGTCCATACTGAACATTTTTTCTTCGGATTCATGCGACTACCAATAGGGCAGTTGAAAGCTTTGGAAAATTCTTTCGAGTTTGAAAGTGTTCCAATAACTCTAATGGGAATACATACATACATAAATAAATAAATGCAAAAATACATACATACATACATACATACATACATACATACATACATACATACATACATACATACATACATACATACATACATACATACATACATACATACATAAATGTATACATAAATATATACATTAAACCATTTCAAAATTGTATATATACATTAAAACATTTCAAAATTATAATATATACATTAAACCATTTCAAAATTGTATATAAAAAAATAATTTTTGTACTTTATTCGGGCTACTTTTTGATTTGATATGGTTTGTAGTCATGAAAATTAGTTATCTTAATGTGTTTTAAGGACAGCTTTAGTTAAGCTAAGCTCAGTTAACTTTACTTTTTACCAGGTCCCTAATATTAAAAAAAAGTTTTTTAAAAGTCATGTTTTAAAAGTATGTCATGTTGGACCTTAAAAGCAGCAAAATCATATAAAAATTTCAAAAAAAAAAAATCGTTTTATGCTACAATTATTATTTTAGATTTAATTGCATAAAAACTATGGTTTTTTAACTAGAAAGTTTTTAATAAAAAAAGTTTTTTTTAACTTATTTTCATAAAACAATTATTATTTTTGAAATTTATATATTATTTGCTTCTTTTGAGTTCTCGGTTGACTTTCAAAAACTTTTTTTTTAATATTAGAACCCCGTTGAAAAGTAAACTTAATTGAGCTGTTATTAAATATTGGAATAACGCTTTGAAAATTTAAGGATTTATTTAAGAAATTGAAGGATTAATTAATAACATTTAAGCATCTCGCCACTTAATTATTAAAAAAGAATTTTTTTGAACTGGTCTAATATACATACGTACATAGATATAAGAGGCGTATAAATAAATAACTATAAATATTTGCCCCCCCCCCCCCACAAAAAAAGGGACCCTTTCCACTGAAATTTTTTTTATTATATTTATAAAGAAAACATGTAATATTTGCTTTTTATACCTTGTTAATAAAACATTATTTATTTTAAAAAATAGATAAAGATGGTAGAATCTCTGCTCCAAATAATTATAAAAAAAAAAGAAGATTGAAATTATGTTTGAGGGAAACATACTTAATGTCAAAAACTTTACCTTACTTATGACTATAACAGAATTTAACAGCTACACTACCTTCAGCTACACTATCTTCAGCTACACTATCTTCAGCTACACTATCTTCAGCTACACAATCTTCAGCTACATTATCTTCAGCTACACTATCTTCAGCTACACTATCTTCAGCTACACTATCTTCTATCAACTATCTTCAGACGAAATAATTCTTAAAATGCTATCAAGAATAGAAAAAAAAAGTTGAAGATTATCCTAGAAATCTTTTATTTATTTAACTACCTTAAATATGAATTTTTTTTTTGCCTTTTCTTTTCTTTTCTTTTTTTTTTGTAAATTTCGCAAAGTTTTTTTTTCTTTTTTTTTTGTAAATTTCGCAAAAGTCCACCATTGCTTGGACAGCTATCCTTTTACTGTGACCGTTCCTAAGTGCACTAAATATTCTTATTCGTTCAGTTTTTTTCCTTGAACATCAGTTCTTTGGAACTCACTTCCTTCATCTTGTTTTCCTAGTTCATGTAATTTGCAATATTTTAAGTCGTCTGTCAATTTGTTATCTTGCTCTATAAACTTTATCTTTTCTCTTCCAGTAACTTCCAATTCTAATAGTGGTTACTTGCAGCCTTGATGGAAGTAAAGATGTTGCAAAAAAAAAAAATTACTTTATTTAATTCTAATTTTTTTGCTTTTTTGTTTTCTATTGCCAATATTGCGCAGTGTTTGAGACGTTCCTTAGACATTTCTTAAATATGTTTTTATAAACTTTTTCTGAAGGATCTTTCTGCACTAACAACTGTCACAGATCAGTGCCGGATCAAGGAGGGGGGGAGGGCTAGGGGGGACTATAGCCCCGGGCCCCGCAAATTTAGGGGCCCCCAAATATGTTAGAGGCCTTTTTTTTATTAAGTCATTTTTAAGCTCTGGCCCATAAAAAGGCCTCCAAAAATAGCCCCGGGCCCCAAGAAGTCTTAATCCGCCACTGTCACAGATAGATTATCATCAATAACAATATTGCTGTGTTTTTATTAAAATGATCTCACTACATAAAATTATAATTAATGAGAAGTATGTTGGGTAAATCTTTTATTGTAGTTGCTTCTTTGATATCTTTTTTAATAAAAAATGATTACATTAATTAATTGGGTAGAAAATTTTTTGTCAAACCGCCCAGATTTTTCTTTTGTAATAATTTAGCTGATTCAATTAAAGCATCTTCCAACAATTTTTTTTTCATTTTTCGACAATTTTATTAAATTTTGAGCTTGCATAAAACTAAAAAAAATTGAAATTTTTTTCAATATCAGTAAATATTTCACTTATTTACACATTGACATTATTTAAAATAAATTATTTTGAAATCTTTATTCAGCGTATTCATATAAATAACTTCCGCCTAACTCATCAAAATGTCTTTTATATTTAGATTGCCTCAAACTTAAAAATTGGTTTTATTTGTCAATCACTGCAAATAGAAGTAGCCTCTAATCTAAATAATTTGGTCTAAAATCTTTTAACTTGAATTTCAGATTATCTAAAAACTCGTATACTTTTCTAGAACCAGAAACATTTATTTAAATCAGCGTCAGATTTAAATTGTAACTCGCAATTAACATATAGTGCAGATGGCTGAATATTATTTATTTTTTTAAACTCCGTTATAAATGTCATTTATCACATTAGCTCCGTCATATCCTTGACCAAGGCATTTTGTAAACCTATTTAATTATTTTATAAGTAAAAATAATAATTGATTGGTTAAATATTCTGCCGAAAGATCTTTTATTTCATAAAAACCTAAAATTTTAATTTTAATCTCTATTTGACAAGGTTGAGCAAGATTTGAGTTACTAACGATCAACTCAAATTTGAGTTAAAAACACAGCAATAAACCTTTGCATGTTTTTATTAGTGCTATTGAAATAATACAGTTTAGGTTCAGATAAACGAATAGCAAGCATGTACATCTGGGGGACTACTCTAAACAGTCTGTTTTCCTTGCATTTTATTTCTATTGTAAATTATTGTGATAGTGTTAGTCATTTCAACACATTTGAGATAAAAAGATATAATTTAATTAATTTAAGAAAATGTTTTTCATTTAAGAATACGGGAATAAATCAAATAAATGTATCTTTTAAAACAAGTATTAGTACCACTTATACTTTAAAAAAATTGAAAAATTCGAATAATATTAGTACGATTTGCAAATTCCGCAGGGCCCTCTGAGCTCCTGGACCATCTCCGCCTTGCGGGATTGTGCTTGCCCTAGTTACGCCACTAATACATACATATCTATCTATCTATCTATATATATATATATATATATATATATATATATATATATATATATATATATATATATATATATATATATATATATATATATATATATATATATATATATATATATATATATATATGTATATATATATATATATATATATATATATATATATATATATATATATATATATATATATATATATATATATATATATATATATATATGTATATATATATATATATTCAAAAAGATAATTAAAAAATAGAGAGATCAAGTGTACAAATTTATAAATAACGCGTTTTGTACCTAAACTCTTCTTCTGAGTGTCTATCATTAAGTGTTGATAAGTATTGTTCACTTGGTCGACTGTTGCTACAATAAGCCTAGATAAAATAAAAAGTTGTTTTAAAATTAGTTAGATAAACTTGATTGTAAACAAAAAAAAAATATCCTAGATGCCATTTAAAATTTTTATAATTAAATTAAAAACCTGAGCAAATGCAATATGAAAAAGCTGTTCATTATTAAAATCCAATCCTTCAATCAAATTGTCTCCTCCAGATGTTTTTACCCAATTATAATAAGCCTAGGAAAAGTTTTTTTTTTTAAATTAAATATCAAATAATAGATTTTATCTAAATACATTGTTTAGTTTATTATTGTTTAGTACCTTAAGTGCTGTTTTAAACCCACCATTATCGGCTATATTTTCACCCAAGGTTAGTTTGCCATTCAGCTAGAACGAGACCAATAGAATTATGTTTTAAATATTAAAAATAAGAACTAAATAAATTGAAACAACAAGATTGCTGTACACAGTATTTTAAAATGTTACTTTTTGAGTAAAAGTAAAAAAATAAAAAATCTTTTCTTTTTTCTTTTAATCAATTAACAGTACACTTTATAATAACCGAGCGGGTGTTTGTCTTTAAAAGTTACGTTCTGAATGTCTTTTAAACGTCTTCTAAACATTCTTACGTAAAGAACGTTTAAAAGACGTTTAAAAGACATTTAGAACGTAACTAAAAAACAAATGTCCGCTGGGAAAACACAGAGCTGATGTGATTAAAAAAACCAAACATTTAAACGTACTGGGTATTTTCCTCTAATTTTATATTTAGAATATTGATCAACTATACATTGTGCTCTTTTTTTAAAATGAACAAGCGATTCGTTAGTCCACCATTGCTTGGATAGCTCTCCTTTTTTGTTGAATTTTCTTCCTGTGTTGTCAAAACCGTGCGTAAGCTCATGACCCAATATAGAACCAATAGCACCATATAACATAGCCCTAAAAAGTTTGATTAAATGTTAAAACTTTCAAGTTTATGTGAAATAATTTTTAAATTTTAAATATCAATTCTTATTATAATCAAGTTAAAAACAGTTATTATAATTACACATAGATATCTAAATAAAGAAATATTTTATATTTAACTATTTTTACAAAAAATACATTTTTGTTTGAAAAAAATCAAACCTACATTGATAAGTTTACGCCGTGAAAAAATGGCGGCTGAAGTATCCCAGCAGGAATAACTAAACAAAATTTCTTTGAGTTTAAGATAAAATATATTAAATACATTAACTCCTCATTAAAAAAACATCATCGAGTAATTAAAGTTTTAAGTTTAGTATTAAACAAAAATCAATAAATAGATTAAATAATAACTAACAAGTAAAAGTTAGATTAAAAATAAAAACATCAAAAAGTGATCAATCAATCAAATTTGACCTTTGAGTAAATCATCTGATGATTTAAATCATTTTTAATTAATTTTTTAAATACGTCATGTTTTTCAATTACTAGAATATCAAAAATGTCTGCTATAAAATCGGCTCTCTACAGGATATGCTGTACCCTTACAAATCTTCTAGGTTTGTAGTCAATCTTAAACTTACAATTTTCTTCCATAAAAACTGTCCCATATTTTTAGGTAGTAACACCTTTGGAAACATTTTCGAAAATAACTGTATTTTCGTGTTTTTATTTATTTATGTGTTGAATATGTAAGTCTTTATAATAAACTATTGTTTAGAGTTACGTTCTAAACAAAAAGAATTCAATCTATTATTGACTCTTTAATTTATGTACAGAATAGTTTTCTTTAGTCTCAAAATTTTAATCTCGTATGATTACTAGCATCCGAGGTTCGACGCCGGCTGCCGCTCAATAAGCGACAATTGTAGGAAAAGAGGCGTGATAATCCTAGTTAAATGTTCTTCCGCGGTGCTCTGTGATAAGACTGTAAGGACTTCTGGGAGCAACTTAATAACTACAAAAAAAAAAAAAAAAATGCCCAAGAACAAAACAGAAAGGTATATCTGCACTATGTCTTTGATATCAGAAAAAAATGTCTCTTAATCAAGTTAACCATAATCCAAAAATCTAAATTCAAAAATCGACTTAAAAATTTAAAAATGTTTACTTTTTGAAATTAGCAATAGTTAAGTAAAAAATCAAACGAAATCTAATTAATATACGTCATATATTTTGTTCTTAATTATATAATATATAATTAAGAACAAAATATTTGTTAAATGAAAGATTTTAAAATGTTATTAAAAAATAAAATTGTACCTCACTAATAAAAGTACATCTTTTAAAAAAGTTTTTTTAGCTTGATTCTAACTAAAGTTTGTTAAACAAAGAAAGGTTGTTTTTTGCATCTTTTATAGCGAAAGAAATCCTACTACTTTTTGTGGACTTAATATATACCCCCAAAGTTTCAAATACTACGCCAGTTTTATAAAAATTTAGACATTTTTTATAATCAATATTTTACAACCGACATTTTTTATAATCAACATTTTACAACCGACATTTTTTATAATCAATAAATTTTTACAGAAAATTTATTGATTATAAAAAATGTCGGTTGTAAAATGTTTGAAAAGATTTAAAATACAAAAATAAGCTGATTTCAACTAATAGCCATGTAAAAACAGGTTTAACTTTCTCTTCAGAAGATAATTTTTTAAAGCTTTTTAAGTTTGCTGAGATTTTTGTTTAAAAGTTAATCTGTATTTTAAAAATAAAAAAATTATAAAGGTAATTTTATAGCATGTTCCTTACTCATTCCGTTTTGATTGAAGCTGTACATTGCGTTAATGGTTTGGGGATCCATTGGCCATCTTAAATATAAAAGGTAATTGTTGTATATAAAGTTCTGAATAGGATTTTAAAAATTTTAAAATAGAAGTCTATTATACTTACTCGCTTTTATCAACTTTCTTTCGCAACTTGTTTAACATCCGATTATGAGCAAACTTGATCAGAGAGAGTCGATTGTGAAACAGATCATCGCTGACTATTTTCAACTATGTAAAATAAAATGCGAGTAGACTCTTTAAAATACTCTATTAAAATACGTGAAAACTCAAATCAATGTATCAAGTGAAATGATTAAAGCACTTTACGTCTTTGTATTTAATATCAAATCTTGTATCGTTATTTATATAAGACGGATAGCCAACTTGATCTTTCATGGAATCTGCCTAAAACAATATTAGCTAAATGTTTCAACACAAAATAAACACACTTAATATATTTAGGTTGTTACAAGATACAAAAGTTTCATTTCTTTATTCAATATTGCTTTAAATGGTCTCATATAATGCAGAGATCGTACGAAACAAATTGAAATATCATAAGAGAAAAATAGTATCACAAGTCACTGTTTCTTAAGTTTAACATTAATTACCATTAATACGAGAGTATTTAATGTTTTGCGATAACTACCACATACAACAAGAGTTTAAAGCAGTATTAAATATATCAATGAAACTTTGATTTATATAGTTGTAATTTTTTATTTCCTAGATAGTCATGATGAGGTCAAATAACAGTAAGACATCACCATGACAATCTATACTATTGTTTTAATAGTACAGAAATAAAAAAAGATTTTTCTAAAAACGTTTCTAACCTTTTCGGCAACTCTTGCTTTTGTCACCTCGTCCATCCAATGCAATGTTTTTACATTATCTTTAAATGCTTCTCGTATGTTTGTAATCATATTAGTAGCCTAATTTTTAAAGATAACATTATCAACAAATGGTAATCAATATTGGCATTGTATATAAAAGATTAGTTTATTATTTATGGAAAGAAGTATTTCAAACTTGGAAAAAATAACAACTTTAAATAAAAAAAAAATTTAGCTAGGTAATTTTGCCATGGAAAAGTAAATTGTCCACTAATATTACCAAAAACTTCTTTTTCTAATTAGATCAACCTGGGTATCAAAAGAAGCGTAATTAATATGGATTTTAAAAATGATGTTTGTTTTTAAAACCATCTTTTTTGAATATGCTCCTCTTAGTTTTTCTTTACTATATTTAAAATTTAAAATTTTTAAAAAACAAACGTTACTTTTAAAGTCCTTATTTAATTACCCTTCTTTTAATACCCAGGCTGACCTATTTGGAAAAAGAATTTATTTATTAATATTAAAGGGCAATAAATTTTTCAAAGACAAAGTTAGCAAGTTAAAAAAAAATTTTAATTATTATTTTTTTCAAATTTTAAATACTGTTTTCCACAAATAAAAAACTGCTCATTATACAATTTAAAAAAAAAAAGGGAAAATCAACAACACCCAAATGTAACAGGCTTTCGCTTAACATTAATAAAGAAACTAAATTTACTTTGGTTCATAAACCAAGTAAAACTGAGAATCTTCATCTAAAATTACCTAATCTGAAAATCAGTGAAACAGATAATATTAACAAAAAATAACAGCTATAGTTATAAAAACAGAGTAAACTGTTTACGTCATGTTTTAAATTGCTCGTAGAATTAGTTTTCCAAAAATAAAATGGATTGACGACAGCAATGTTATTAAAAGTTCGAATCTAATATTAATTTACAGAAACTATAAATGATTGCTATTTATATTTATCACAATGACACTGATAATGAATCTATTAGGATTCTTGATCTTACATTCAAATCATATTTCTGCATTTGCATCAAAACTGTTGTTCACATCAATCAAGCTTAAATTAAGTTGTCATGAAAATATTTAGTCAACAACAAAAAATTTTACAACATCCCAGCGGGCATTTGTTTTTGAAAATTACGTTCTAAATGTCTTTTAAACGTTTTTTAAACGTCTTTTAATGGTTCTTTACGTAAGAATGTTTAGAACTTGTTCAATTTTTTTTTATATAAAAAGCCAACCTTCGCAACAGTTTCAACAAATAGAATTTATGTCTAATTAAACACATTTTTGTTCTTAAATAGCTAAAAATTGCACATTTTTGTATTATGTCCTAATCTTGAATACACATCTTATATTTGATGTCTGTGTTTAAAAAAAAAATTAATTTCGTTGAAAGAGCGCAGCATGAAGCAAGTGCACTGTTTCTAGGATAAAAAAGGTAGAAAGCTATTTCACAAAGCAGATTTTTAGCTTAAAGAATTTTTTGGAAAGTATATTTTTCCCTTAAATAAATTTTTCTAAACCAACTAAACCGACTAAAAGTATTTGTAACTATATAACAAAAGTATTTTTCTGAAAACAGTATAATAATAATCTCAAAAAGACAGCATGTAGCGCTGTGGTTAGAGCATGGTCTGAGATTTGGTGCTTGCTCTTGCCATAATTCCGTCATTGGCAATTGAAGTCGTAGTGAAGTTCCAAGTTAAATGCACTTCAGTGGTGCTCTGTGACAAAACTGTCAAGTTTACATTGGAGCATCTTCATACCCATTTACAAAAAAAAAGTAAAACTATATTAAATACTTACAATTAATTTAGTGCTTTCTTTAAAATGTTTTTCGGTATATGTTCTAGCAATAATTTCACCAAGGTATTCATTAGTATACGATACACACGTCTTCCACCTTTTTCGTAGTCCTTTTGAACCTAAAACCTTTTCTTTGTAATGCATTCTTGCTTTTAAAAACTTTTCTGATAGGTAAGGGACTTCATCTTGAATAACACTCCATACAACATAATTCGAAAGAACACTAAAGTTTAATAATAGAAAGAAAACTTTATTTACGAAAATTGAAATATGTTTAATGAAAAGAGAGCATAGTTAGGTAATGTTCAAATTTACTCACTCTGGTCCTACAGATTCTACTACGGACATCATTTTTTTTAAATAAGCCACAGACGGTGCAATAATGCTTTCGTTTTTCGCAATGTAACTTCGGCCTTTAAACACTTCGTTAACATATGTGTGCCAATTAAACTAGCAAAGGTATTTATAAATTAATTTTTTTTTTTAACAAAACAAAACTTTATTCAAGAGTTTCCCTCTTACATTTGGGACTTCATTTTCAAGTTCTTGCATAGTCATTTTGTGAAACCATGTTTCTTGCTTAACATCGTCGGGTACACTTATCTGAAAATAATAAATTAAGACATTCAACTTAAATTACTAACTATATATAAAGCTTTATAATACTTTTTTGTTTGAGCTATTAGATTTAAATAAAGTAAAAAATTTTTATAATTAAATTTTACCTCTGCAAGCTTTTTCTCAAAAGCTATTGTCTCTTCCGCTTTCTTTTTTATATCTCCTTTAGCTCCAAGAAGTGTGGCCACGTCAATCAAATACTCTTTATAAGCTTTTAAAGTCTATGGTAGGTATAAAAGTTATAAAAAAGTTTTTTAGAAATTATTTAAATGTTATAAGGAGCTATAAAGCAGAGCCCTTAACAATGTTTATAAAGTGAGTGTGTATACTAATGTTTAGTGAGGGGGTAGAAGGAGGTCGGGAACAATTAAAAATTTTCTAACTAAGAAAAAGGTAAGATAAAAGCAAAAGTATATAAATAAGAAAAGTTTTTTTCATAAAGTGCATGCGTTAAGAAGTTGTTACTGCTCTCCCCCTCTACCAGCGTTGTTGAACCTGTTTCGGGCGAACACAATTTTTGCTGGATTTTATTAGTTAAATAAAAAGTTTTGTATTTTACCTTTAACTTTTCGGCATCTTCTGAGAGATAAATTTCTCTTGGAAGGCTAGGCCCTGCTTGATCAATCTGAAAAATATTTTAAGCACGGTTCATAAAAGTTAATTTATTTTTTAAGTTATGTTTTTGTATTTAAAACTTTATTAAAAATTCCAATTAAACTCCCTTGAAAGTTTTTGTATTAATTAAATTTCAATTAAATCAATGAAATATATCAGACACAGCATGTTTTTTTCATTAATAACTACCTCCAATATGTGATCATTTGCATGTCTCGGATCGTCGCTTACATGGATAGAAAAAAGTGGACCACCCGAGGACGTTAAATCCCTATGTATATTTAATAAAGTAGCTGTTATGTTCCAACTGCTATTCCACGAATTATCGCCAGCCATATCCCAACCACCAACTTGTTTTATTAAATCCATCATTGGTTTTTTTCCTTTTTTATTGATTCCGTTTGGCCCTCTTTGGTCCATGCAAGATTGAAAAAATGCTTTGGTTCTTTTCATCATTTCTCTTTCATTTTTTACTTTAGAAGTCAAAATTTTATGCAATATACCTTCTACTTTCTGATTAAGTTTTGTAAATGTTGAATACGTTGAACTTGTAACTGGAATAGGATTGCGCTTAATCCATCCAGCGCATGCATATTTATAAAAATTATCGCAAGGATTAACTTTCTCTGCTGATAAAGAATCTTGCACATACTTTTTTACTCTTTGACACTCAGTGGTATTGCATTTAGGAAAATTATTACTTAAAGACCTCCTAACAGCTCCGCCGGTTGTTATTAAGTCATCAAAACTGTCTTCTTTTTGGTCGGTGTGCAAAACAAACAAAATCCCAGCACATGCAAGCAAAGTCAAAAGTCCAACTACAGAAACTAATCCGCAATTTCTGGAGTTCTTTTTATTAATAGTTTTTTCATTTTTTACGCAAGATTCAGATTTTTCAAACCGATCAAACTCAAATTCTTCCATCATTTTGCAAGCAACGAGCTGACCTAGATTTTGCCGCCTAGCTTTGGAGAGCTAGATACCTCTTTATCTGTATTATAATAGAAGTAATCTTTTGATCTATATAATATTTTAGGTTTCAAAATTAAACATAATTAAAGAGCCAAGCTTAGGCTTTATTTTAAGAGCAAGTCAAGCGTGCACAATTTTGCTGCATTATTAATGAGCAGCGCGCGTTTAATTCAATGAAGTCTAAAAGCTTGAAGATAATAGCATGCCTAAGAATATGCAAGGTGAAGAGAGTTTAAGTTTTAAAACACGCTGTTGATATTCGATTCAGTTTGCAATTAGTTTCAATTCATTTTGAAAATAAACAGCATTTTGTTTTGATAAAAAGACACTTAAAAAATTATATGTCAATTTTTTTTGTCTTAATAGACAAAAAAAATGGCATCTCCGAAATAAATTCACTAATTAAATCCAAATTAAATTTACTAATGACCAAAATAAAATTTAATAAAGAATATATATATATATATATATATATATATATATATATATATATATATATATATATATATATATATATATATATATATATATATATATATATATATATATATATTTATATATATACATATATATATACCGATTATAACTTCACCTTCTTTGGGGAGTGGGGTAGGGTGTACCCCACCCACCGGTATATATATATATATATATATATATATATATATATATATATATATATATATATATATATATATATATATATATACTATATATATATATATATATATATATATATATATATATATATATATATATATATATATATATTTATATATATATATATATATACATATATATATATATATATATATATATATATATATATATATATATATATATATATATATATATATATATATATATATATATATATATATATATATATATGTATATATATATATATATATGTATATATATATGTATATATATATATATATATATATATATATATATATATATATATATATATATATATATATATATATATATATATATATATATATATATATATATGTATACATATATATATGTATATATTTTAAGGTTTTAGATATTATATACAAGGTTTTAGATATTAACACTATATTGAAGCGGTGGCGCAGTGGTTGAATCCTAGCTCGGAACCATGAGCCAATAAGCGACATTAAGCGACATTGGTAAGAAAGAAGGCGTGAACATCCTAGTTAAATGCTCTTCCGCGGTGCTCTGTGATAAGACCGTAAAGATCTCTGGGAGCACCTTAATAACCACAAAAAAAATAAATAAATAAAAATAAAATTCAAATAAAGTAATCTTATAATAAATAATAATATATCTTTTCTAAAATTTCAACTTTATTTTTTTTACTTTCAAGTTTTTATTATTTTTTATTATTTTTTTATAATTTAATTCATTTTATGACTTTGAATTTTAATTTTTTTTTAGAAATTATTTTTTATGACAATCACCTTTCTTCCACCTCTTTTTTAGAACTATTCTTTCTTTCGCCACTCTTTCTTTTTTCCACTTTTTTTTCTTTTACCACTCATTTGTTTATACTGTTTGCAAAAACTCTGTTCAAATAAATCTCTTAAATATATAATACACATGTTTTCTTTAACTACGGGGTTAACATTTATATTAATATACTAACTTATATTATTTTTTAGGTCTTCAATCATTGAAGCATAGCAATTAAATGTTCTTATTAGTGTTCCAGCTGTTCGAGTACTTAGAATATATTTCTTAGAACTAAATATTTTTTATGGCTGCCACAGTTCAAAGCAATATGTTATTACCAAAAAGTTTAGATTTTTTATCTTCAAAAACAACTACATTATCTAAAATAACACAAGTCTAATACTAATATTTCAAACTTAAAAAAAAACTCACAATTTGCAAAATAATGATCATAAAAAACAATGATCTTCTTTCGAGGAACAAAAATCTTCTTATGAAATTTCGAGAGTTCGAGAACAAAAAACTTCTTTCGAGGTTTTTAAAGATCTTTTTTAAAACTTTAAAAATCTCGATTCGATGAATAAATGAATTAAAACATATGAGGATATTAAAAATTCTTTAGCCCTTAAATGATACCAAATTTAAAAAAAGTCTGAACCCTACGTTTATTACACTATAAATATCATTAAAAAAGCCATATACACGAGTTACACCAAATACCAGCAAAACCGTACCAAAGAAATCTTAAAGGAGGGGGTGGGGATGACGTATCTGTTTTTTTCCGAGTAATTTTTAATTTAATTTATTTTTTACAGTAATCAAAACAACTTCTTGATTAAAGGGAAGCACACCAGACTTTCCTATGCTGACAATGGACATTGCTGCAGCCGAAGCAGCATTTTAAACGTGTTTTTTAAAAAAGTGCACAGTGGGTGCATCAACTACATTCTGAGCTAATTTGTTCCATCGGTTAGTAACTCGGTTTGTAAAGAAGTGCTGACGTTTTCGTTTGATCAGTTAGTAACATCGGTTAGTAACTCGGTTTGTAAAGAAGTGCTGACGATTTCGTTTGATCAGTTGTGGTTTTAAACATCGGCTGTTTCTTCTCAGATTATATCGTGAATTTAACAAAAAAGGCTGGGCTTGTGGTATGTAAAATTTAACTTCTTGTAACTGATAAGTAATTTTGTATTGCAGTATAAGGTCACTGCGAATTCTGCGTTCTTCCAGCGTGGTTAGATCTAGTAGTTGTAGTCGTTTTTCGTAATTAAAATGTTTAATCGACGATATAACTTTTGTTGCACGTTTTTGCGCACGTTCGAGAAGGACGATTTCCAATTTTAGATGTGGAGACCTTGTACACAATACTCTAGATGCGGTCGAACGTATAGCTGGTACAATTTCTTCCAAAGCTGGGGGCTACGGCATCGAAATGTCTTTTTGAGGCGACCAAGCATTCGATTTCCGGCCGAGGCTGCTGCTTCTACTTGTGCTTTCACTTTGAGGTTATCGGATATTAGTACACCAAGGCCGCGCTCAATGCACGTTGGAGATAAGTTATGTCGGTTACTATTGATGTCTGCCATGATATAGGTATGTGTTAATTTATTTTTGCCGCTACCAACGTGCATTACTTTGCACTTCTCGATGTTAAAGTGCATAAGCCATTTATGTGACCAACTTACAGCGTTGTCAATGTCCGTTTGCAGTGTTTCATAATCAGAGGATGATTGATTATTATTTATAATTCCTATGATCTTGCTATCATCTGCGTATAACTTGGTATAATTGCTATGCCATCTGGATAGTTATTGACAAAAAGCACAAATAGCAGTGGTCCAAGTACTGATCCTTGAGGGACTCTACTTGTAACTCTTTTTCACTCGGAAGTTTGTACCCCAATAACTACACGCTGTTTTCTTTCACTTAGCCAGACAGAGATCCAGTGGAATAGCTGGCCTCTAATGCCGTAGGCCTGAATCTTGTGAAGGAGTCTTTTGTGTGGTACTGTATCAAAAGCTTTGGCAAAGTCTGTAAATATTATGTCAACAATGTGTCAACGGTATGCTGCCTCCGTGAGAATGTCACGGAACTCAATTAAATTTGTAAGACAACCTCTGTGATTTACAAATCCATGCTGAGATTTTCATAACCCTCTTTTTTATAATTCTCTCCATTACCTTGCTCGGTACAGAGGTAAGAGATACCGGCCTAAAATTACAAGCTTTGAGTTTGTTTCCTTTTTTGAAGATAGGAGTAACATTTGATTTACGCCAAAGATCTGGGACATTTCCAGTTTAAAAGGATAGCTTGAAAATGAGTGAAAGAGGTATTGCAAAAACTTTTGCAATACCTCTTTCACATATATACCTTTTATATCTTATATATATATATATATATATATATATATATATATATATATATATATATATATATATATATATCTTATATATATATATATATATATATATATATATATATATATCTATATATATATATATATATATATATATATATATATATATATATATATATATATATATATATATATATATATATATATATATATATATATATATATATATATATATATATATATATATATATATATATATATATATATATATAAGATATAAAAAATATATATCTTAGTCGGCAATAAAAAATTTCTAGGCCTTACTCGGCAAAAAACAGGTATGTCACCCTCACCCCCTCCTTTAAGATTTCTTTGGTACGGTCCTGCTGGTATTTGGTGTATATATATATATATATATATATATATAATATATATATATATATATATATATATATATATATATATATATATATATATATATATACACATATAAAAAAAAGATCCTCGTTGGATGAAATTTGCCGACAGCCGACTGTAGATCCAACTTTACCGACTCCAGTGTTTAATTGGCTAATAAATTTCGTAGGGAGCTAGACACCCTTACGCCCCTCCCCCTCCCATGCCTTGAATGACACCAAATATCAGCATTTACATGAGTGACAACAAACATTAGTAATTATATGAATGACAACAGATATCAGTATTTACACGAGTGACACCAAATATCAATTATCAGTAAAAGTCAGAACTACTACAGAACTTATAGAATATCTAAATACTACTAAGTAATATTATGTCCAGCTAAACACTACTTAAAAAATTTCGAAATATATAGATTCTGGAGTTTTTTAAAAATTTTTAAATTACTACTGTAAAAAAATTATAAAAAGTTTTAGAATCTAGTAACAATTAAAAAAGTTTCAGTAAGTTGTAGTTATATATTTTTCTTAAACCTGACGTGGAAAAAAGGTTTTTTATCAAAGGGAGACGTTTGATGGCAAATTTTTATTATAATAAATCTTTTTAACTTCGGCTTTATGCATTACTGCTTTAAGAAATGAACATCTGTTTGATTTTCAAGTATTTAAAAGATTTTGTCTAAATCTATATTATAAAACATTTTTCTTATTTTATTACTCTCCTGGTAGTAAAAACAGAAAAAAAATTTAAAAAATGCTTTTTCTATATTATAAAACATTTTTCTTATTTTATAACTCTCCTGGTAGTAAAAACAGAAAAAATATTTAAAAAATGCTTTTTCTATATTACAAAACATTTTTCTTATTTATTACTCTCCAGGTAGTCAAAAGGAAATTAACTTTTTTTAATGCTTTTTGATGTTTAATTGTTAAATTGATTTTTTTTTGGCGCTCAACATATTTTTCTATGTTTCCTTTGATGTTTTAGGTAAGTGTTATTATTTTTGTTAAATGTGTTTTAAATCTCGTCTATGCACCTGTCACCCACATAATTCTTTTAATAAAGAACTTTTCGAATATTTAAGTCATTGACATTTAGAATAAAAATTTAAATGTAAAATTTTAGTATAAAATAGATTTTGATATTTGCATTTTAATTTTATTGTAATTTCATTTTTTTTAACTATATTTTTTTACATGGTTTTTAGTGAATTTGTTTCATCATTGTAATCATCATCATCTCGTCAGCTTGAATTAGCAACTGTTGGTCAAATACAAACAAGTTCTTTTTTTGCTGAATCTTTGATCCAACTAGCATTTGAGTGATAAAAAAAAGTTTGTTATAAATAAAATGAAAATTGATGTCCTTTTGTTAATTACAATAATAGCTTTTAGTCCCATTTATTCAACAGATGATGGAAGCAAAAACGAATTTTCTATTTTGGAAAAAGATCGGTGTTATTTTCAATGCAAAATTAAGCAAATTCATTGCCAACATGTGTTGAAACTTTTTCGGTCATGCACAAAGGATTATCGTTCCTGTGCAAAAAACTGTAGATAACAAGTTTAACAAAACATTACGAAAAATAACTTTTTTAGCACTTAAATATAAATTCTGCATGTAAATAAAATACTTAAAATAAAACCGTACTTGTTCTATTTTATGCTACTTTTTTTTCATGTAAAGCAAATTTCACATAACTTCATATGATATTAAAAGTAAATTTAGTTTATAACTAACAAAGTTATAATCTAGGCAAATATTTACGTAGTAAATTTATTGTAATTTTTGTGCAGACGAACTCACTTTTTCATTATGCACAAATCTATTTTGGTTCTAAACTTTTTAAGATTTTTAAACGAGAAATAGAAAATAAAGATTCCAAAAAATATATTAATATGTGCAGCATTTATAGTGAAATTTCTTTAATAATACGCTTCAGCAATAAAAGAATTCTTATCAGAAACTAAATATCTCATTTAAAGTTAACAATAATTTTTAATGGATACTATTATTTTTCTTTAACTCATTATTTGCACTTTAAATTTTTCAAATCTCAAAAAAAAATTTATCTTTTTACCCGATGAGCATAATTTTTCAACAGACAGTTTTTTTATTACAAGCTTTCGCGTAGAAAATATTTTTTATGATTTCACTTCTAGAAACATAAAAAAAATAATTGTCATGTAAAAATTATTATTGGGCATTACGAAGCAAAGTACCTTCATGTTCATATTATTTATATAATAACTTTTATTGTGGGTATATTTTAACTTTATAATAATCTTATTTAAAATTGTTGACGTTAGTTTACCGTGTGATTCATCATAAATAATTGATATTTTTTAAAAGTACTCCTTCTAATAATAGTAAATTAATAATATATATTTCAATGCATCATTTATATTTTATAAGTACAGTACAGTGCGAACCACGCCAAACTGTAACTACATGAGTCAGAACTGTGGCTTGGCTTCCCCACACACCCCAATTTTAGGAGTAGGGGTGTATGAAACTAATTTTAAGAACCCATTTTCAAATTTAGGTGTCCTTTTGAAAATTTGAGGGTCTTTTTTTTTTTTTAATAAACTTAAACTTAACAAGTTTATAACTCACTCAGTTAGTTCTTAAATTTTTTTTTGTACAGAATCTTTATAACTAATTTTTGCTCGTTATAACAATTTTTAATTGTTACTAAGAAAATAGTTTAAAAAAAAATTTGTTCTGTTGAGTAATTTAATTGATTGAGAAAATTTTTTACGGCATTAAATGTTTTATGCTAACTTTTTTTTTTTTTTTACTATTCTTTATGGTTTACATTTACGTTGTACAGCTTTAAATAACCAATAATAAAAATAATGATAGAAAATATAACAAATATAAACAAGGTACCTGAAAAAAGATCGCAAAGTTCTTGTCGTCAAAACCTTAAATAAGCATTTAACAAAGATAAGATAAAATAATAATAATAATAATAATAATAATAAACTTTCACAAAATTGCAAGGCAAATAATTTGTGTCTGAAGAAAGATCAAGAGGATCTTCTCATCAGAATTTTATACTAGAGTAAATATAAATTACAAGAGAAATTAACATATAAATTAAAAAGCAAGAAGAATAAGAACAATAAATAAAATAAGTAGAAATAAACTTCTATAAACGTAAACATATAAACAATAAAAAAGCAAAATTTTCAATTTTTACTACCAATAATAACTCAATATATTATCTAATAAAAAAATGAAAAAAGAAGAGAAAAGACCTTCGAAGACAGCTAGGGATAAGTTATATATCCACATATATACAAAATATAAAATATTAAATACATTTAATCCGTATACATTCAGAACTCTTATTTCAATAAAATAATGCTTCGAATGAGAGAAGCGATTTGCAAAACTGATTATACGGATTTCGCAATATTGGTATAATTTACATAACTATGTATAAATGAGTAATAAAGTTGAATGAAAACTTTCTTATTGAGATAGATTCGTGATTTATATAGGATCCCCACGTTTTTAGAAATTTTTGTGCTTATATAATGAATATGGTGATTCCAAGTAATGTTCTCATCAAGATAAACACCTAAAAATTTTGTAATAAAATTATTTTATTTTTATTTTCATTTGATCGATAATGGTTTGAGGTAATTTTGATGGGAAAAATCGCTTTTTTTTAATCGAATGAAATAAAACCCATTTTGTTTTATTAGTATTCAAAGTTAACTTGAATATCATATCTAATTGGTTCAAATTATACTTGAACCAATTAGAAATGTCTGAGCTCTTCGATTACTGTTTTAAAAAGTTTAGCAATATTATAGTTAGAAAGGAATAAGTTTGTATCATCTGCATACATAATGCTTGTTAGTTTTGAAGCTTTATTCAAGCTTTATTTAATTTATATAAATTAAAGAAAAGAGAGGTCCACGAATTGAACCTTGTGGGACTCCACAGGTTATATTAAGAAAAGTAGATTGATAATCATTGTTAAATGGGGAAAATTGTTTTCGGTTAGATAGATAACTTTTAAACCATTTTAAAATTTTATTTTTTATTACGTAGTATTTGAGTTTATAAATTAAAATATGGTGATCGACCGTACCAAATTTGATAGGTCAATAAAAATTCCTATTGTATATTGTGATTAATTTCGAATGATTTTGAGATTTTACGTACAAATTAGATAACTGCATGTTCAGTTGAGCTATCTTTCTTGAAACCAAATTGATTGATGTAAAGTAGATTATTATCATGAAAATATTTGTATATTCTGTTGAACATAATGTTTTCTAAAATTTTCGAAAATGTGGAGAGAGCAGAAATTGGGAGATAATTACTGATTTCAGATTTGTCCCCTTCTTTAAAAATAGGAATAATTTTTGCAATTTTTAATTTCTGGGAATACTTCTTGATGGATAGAAACTTAAAGATAAAAAAAAACAAACAAAAAAAACTTTAAGTTGTTCACAGCAATCTTCATTGAGTCGTAGTTCTTGTTTATTTACAATATTTTTTTGTAAACAAAAAAAATGCCCTGCGTTTTTTCTCACCAAATTTCAGCGATGGCCCAGCGGGAATTGAACCTAGAACCTTTCGTCACTACTGTAAACATTTACTTTTTTTTCTCTATATTCGACTAGTCTAACTAATATGGTAGATTTAAACCCAATGAAAGTTAGACATAAAAATTCAATAACGTAATATAATAAACAATTTTTTTGCAAAATATTCTTATTTCATATATATTAAATTTTTCAAAATCAAAACGTTAAACTTTTTTATATATGAAAATTTGAGGTTTTGCTTTTGAAAAGTTTTAAACTGTTAATACAAACAAAAGAAACACCTCGATCTTCAAGAATTCTTTAATTTTTTTTTTTTTTAGGTTTTTATATAATTCTAAATAAAAAGAAACCTTTTTTTACTAAAACCTAGTTAGCTCATGATATTTAAAATAATTTTTTTTTTGTTGAAAGTTTTATTTTAGAGTTTCTTAAAGTATAAAAAATATTCATTTTTTTTATAGGATGTGGGCTAAATTTATAATTCATTAAAAACTCATGTTTTTCTTGATAGAAGGCTATTAGGGTAGCGAGGGGCAAAATGAGACACTTAAGCGCTAATATATCTAATACGTCTAACAACTTTTGAAAAAATAAATTAATACTTTTCAGTTCTTCTACCATCCTACTTGAAGCTTAAAAAGTATGAATTGCAAAACTGCAGTAGTTTGGTCACCAGAGATCATTTATTGACAGCACCTATCCTGTCTCATTTTACCCCGCATACCGGGGCAAAATGAGACAGATTTTTTTTTTTAGTAATTTAAATAAATAAAGTTAAACAAAACAGATCTTTAAGAGGATTAGCAAGAAATACATTTTATAATATATATTACAGCTATAATCAAACTGCCAGTAGTCACATAAACCACATATTGCTTGACCAGTATTTTGAAACGAACAACAGTCCGAATGAGCCCAGGTTGTGCATTTTGAACATTGACTCCACTTATATATATATATATATATATATATATATATATATATATATATATATATATATATATATATATATATATATATATATATATATATATATATATATATATATATATATATATATATATATATATACCCACTACAAGAACTAATAAAATCATACATGCATATATTAAACTTATGTATTTAAAGCACGCATAACATTCGTTGTATTTTGTTTATAGGTACAGCAATAACCTATATGTTATAATCTACTCACTATACATTTTATATACTACTTACTTTATTGCATTACAATACATAGTAATTATAAACATCATGCAATTATTTGCTTCAATTTGATTAAATATTTATTATATTTAAATATAAGTTAACAAAATATAAATCGTAATTCTATATTGGATAACAACTAAACATTTCAATTAACAAATAAAAAGTAAGTAAATACAGTATAATAAATTTAAATCTACAGCATGTAAATATTAATATTTGCTTTGTTTGTGGTTTTAATGTAAAAAATTAAATAAACATAATATTAAAAATCGGCAAAAAAAAAATACATTTGCCCCGCATCATGTTGGCATCGAATAGCCTAATTTCCAGACTATTTTATTGAAGAAATAAAATACCAAAGAATGGAAATGTAAGGAAAAGGCCTAAAAATTCTAATTAAAAAAAAAACTTTAAATATAAAAAACCTTTTCCACTCAGTGAGATCAAAAAAGGCTAGGAAAAAATATAATAACAACCCTTAAAAATTCGTAATTTTTGCGAAGCCGAGGGATGAAATGATTCCCTTTTTACTCAACTTTTTTATTTTAAAGTGACTCAATATACTTTTATTGACACAAAATAGTTTTTGAATACAACTGCACTTTTAAAAATCTTGCAAATAATAATTTGTAGGGTTGGCATCATGTTAAACGCGAACTGTCTCGTATTGCCCCGCTATCTCATTTTGCCCCGCGTTACCCTACTTTTTTTCTTTTTGAGACCAGAAGTTTTTTTTTTTATAATAAATGCAACTTAAAAATGTTATCTGACAAAAGTTATATTTTTGAAGACTCAATTTTATTATCAAAAAATAATTGATGCATAAAATCTGCACAGCTCGATAAGTAAAAACATATGCAACTAATCTCGGTCTCATCTACATTTAACAAATCAAAAACTAAGTTTAAGCCCAATCCCAACATAAACTAATAAAAATTGTTAAATAATTATTTTATTTTGTTTTGATTTTTTTTTTAAACCTGAGTTACCATTATTTTACAAGGCAATTATTCAACAAGTTCTTCGTTGTCATGGCTTTTATCCATAACAATGCTTTAACATTCATAATTACAATATTGCTACTTCTAATAAAGTTATGCTTGTTTTCTGACATCCAATTAAGTTGCATTTATTTTTGAACTTTTGATAAAAAAAGTGAGTAATGTTTTTCTGCTTGTTTTTTACGAGGCGTCCATTGTGAATAAAACTGCTTAATACCATTTACAGTAGAACGTAATCTTATCAAAATCCACAAGCAATCGAAAACAACACCTAAAAATAGCCACATAGACATAATAACCGAAGCAGATTGTGAAATATTTTGCCCCTTTAAAGCAATCACAAGGTTTGGTAATGATATTGGTAAACAAAAAGTTGCAAAAGAAAAAAGTAAGCCTGCAAACATCTTAAACGCTTTTTGATGACTCGATATAGAATAAGAAACATCATCGCAATCTCTAAAATTTTTTGTATCTTTAGTGCAAATAAAGTTTATAATAGTCAAAACTCCAGTTATTAAAAATCCAATATTAAATACTACTTTTGTATGAGCTGATTTAGACTTGTAAGTAACTCCAGTTAGTAATACTGCAACTACCCATTCAAATACGATCATTAAACTTATATAAGTTTTTGACCGTGACAAGCTTAAAAATCGTTTCACGTAGAAAATGCAAATAACTCGTTGAAATGTTAACACCATAGCGTGTAACAACATTGAAGAAGATAACCAAAGAGCTCCTAAGTTATTTAGTTCAAAGAAAGTATGATTTTTTTCTCCATTAATTAAAAAGGCCACATACCCAACTGCATAAATTATTTCAACTAACAAATGGGCCACTACCTTGCTTACCAATGTTAAAGTAACTATTCCGAACCCTCTTGCAAGAAAGTAGCGTCTGAACTTAAAAAATAATAAAGTATTTATAAAAAAAACAACAATAATTTGCATGCCTGAAAACCACGCAAACAACGTAAACTGATTCATGCTCCTTTAATTTTTTGCAAAAATCTTCTAACTCAACAATATCTTTATAATTTTTTAAACATTCGTTTTTCAATCCTCTCAGTTCAACAGAACACATTCATTAAAATTTTTTCTTTTACTAGAATTTCAGATTTCAAAATTAATTTTGAAAAGCAAACATTTTAAATGAACTTTTGTTTTTGTGTATTTTAGAATAATAACAGAAAAAAAAATTAAATAAAGGTAAACACAAGTCTAAAAATATAAGCTAAACAACAGTAATATATTTATCTATGGGAAAATAATTTTAAGAAAATCGAAAACAAGGCAAACTTGAAACATTTTTTAGCCATCTGTGTATTTATAAATATGTTACATTAAGTTCAACTATGCGGTTAAATATATTACCAAAACCACTATTTTAAACCGATTTTAAAGTCACTCTCTCATATTATTTTAAAATCATATTATTAGTATAATAACCGCAATAATATTTATATCTATCATATTTATAGTTCTTTTAAAACCATAAAATATTAAATAATTTATTCAGTTTCAAAAAAAAGAAAGAATTTTTTTTATTATATATATATTTTTTTGCATGAAGCATTCCCATTGGGGTCCAGCAATTTTTAACTTTTTTTGAAAAATCAATTGCTTTGAGCGGGAGTACCTTAATAAAATTAAAATGTGCAAAATATTAGTTGAAAGTTTCCCGATTCTATTGTATTTTAATGTAATTTTTTACATATAATTCTTATGAAACATAAATTAGGGTGAGTTATAATTAATGAACTTTTAAAACAAGTGTTGGTGTAAAACATTTTCCCGAAAATTTTCATATATAATATAAGGTAAATAATTTATTTTTAATTTATATATTTTTTCAGACATGTTTGGGTCCTATAAAAAAGAATCGTTATACATAAAAGCCATATAATTAGATAAAATTATGTAAATAAAACATTTATTAAAAAAACATGGTTTAAAATGTTGCAAAACTTATTTGGGTTTACATTAGACAGTTAACAAAAAAAAAATTCAGATATTTTTGTTTTTAAGTTTAAAAAATAAATTCATCTTTTTAACTTTAAAACTTTAACTTTAATACAGAAAGAAAAACTTCGGAAAATTTTGTTTATGTTTAACTTCGGCTGGAAAGTTTGGTTTATGTTTAACTTGTTTTTAATGACGCATTTATTTATAATTCTACATTAAATGGCGTTTTTAATGTTGTTTATTTAAGTTAATTTTTCGAACTTTTTTTATTTTTGTATTAAAACCTGATTTTTTATAAACTATTTCAGTTTGAAACGAACCAATGCCAAATATTGTTGGTACCTGTAAACCGATATATTTTTTAATTTTAATTAAATTAAATTTTTTTTTATTTAATTTATTTCGCCATTAAAAAATAGAATACAATGCCGTGTTATATAAATAAAATCTACATGACCGGGGCTAAAAGAAAACAATATTTGCCTAATCACTACGTCCCGACTTGCTTTCATCAGCAAGCGTGTACAACCATTTAAAAGTAAACATACAATTACTTTCCACCATTTAAAAATTATATTCAAATATTTACAAGTATGTTAAGATCAACTAAAAATCTATAATCAAAAGAAAATTGTTATAAGAAAATAAAAAATAATCACACCTAAAAAACTAAAGATAAGTTGATAGAAAAATTTAAAGGAAATTTAAATTAGAGATTTAAATTATTAAGATAGTTGTTAAAAAAAAAATTAAAAATTAAAAAAAAAAAAAAAAAAAGAATCTTAAAGAATTTAACTCATTAGCGTCGTTAATAAGTTTTTGTTTGAATAGAGAAAGAAAAGAACAATCAGCACCTTATTTAATAAAGTGTTCCATAATTGAGGACCTCTGATGGCAATAGAAAATTTAGTAACCAAATTGTGCATTTTAGTTTGCTCATAATTGTAATTTGAAAATCTTGTAGGACACACGTGCTTAATTTTATTGAAAAACGTATTAAATATTATAGGAGTTATTTTATTATGAAGTTTGTACATAAATATAAGAATTTAATAAAGCTTTAATTGAAAAACATTGAGTATGTGATAATTTTTAAATAGTTCTTTAGAATGTGTGAACCAACCTACACTAGAAATAATTCTGACAGCGTGTCTTTGTCTATTAAGCAATTTTTTAATTTTACTTAGACTAGCGCTGCACCATGCAATATTTGCATAGTTTATATAACAATGTATAAGGGAGAAATATAAGATTTTTAATCAGTTTTGGTTTGATATTTGCTTAGCTTTGTACAGTATGCCAATAATTTTCGAAATTTTATCTTCTATCGTTTTTATATGCTCTCTCCATGTCAAGTTTTCGTCAAGTATCAATTCCTAAAAATTGAATGACGACTCTAATTATTTTAGAGTTACCAATACAATGATCAGAAAGTTTTTATG